TTTTTTTATATTTTATTTTTAGAATTAAGAAAAGATAACACGGGTAGTTATGTTCCATAAAAGTAGGACCTATTATCTGATTTTGTTTTTATTTTTAATTTTTTTAATTTTATCTTCATTTAATTAAGAATTTCAATTCTTAATGTTTTAATTAACCAATGACATTTTCTGGTATTTTGAATGTTTCACCATTCTCTCTGCCTTTTGCTTTATATATATAGATATTTCATTCTTTATGTATAACCTTCTCAAATTATACCAAACACAGACAAAAATGATAAAACATGTGAAGTTTTCCTAGGCCTTTATTTAGTTTGTCTCTTTTGTTGGGCCTTGGTCCTCGCTTCACCAAAGAATATTCCATGATGACAAAGCAAGTCCTTCCATGTAATATCAGCCCATCAGTTCATGAAGCCATAATTCATGTTCATGTTCACATCCCCATCTAGCTCACCCTCTATCACCATGCAGTATATAGCTCACGGTCTCACCTCCAGAAAAAAATGCATAACAAAGTGACACTTCTCTTCTCGATGTTAAAAAAAAATAAAAGTTTTACATCTCCTATTTTCATTGATAAATAATTTAAAAGGGAAAAAAAAAAGTTCATGAAGCGTGAGCTCTGAGGACTCTAAAAGGAGGGTTGTTGCCAACATGGATTGGTTCAGTTGGTAAGGTCCTTGTACTGTGTGTCGCCTCACTAATGTTTGAGTCCCACTGCCAGCAGTTCCGTATTTGGTAAGTAATCTGTAGATTCCTTTGTAAAACCGAAAAGGTGTGGAGTTTGCCTTGACCCTGCGTATGGGGGCAACCTCTCCCTCCCCTAAACTTCTTGTTACCATAAAAAAGGAAGGTTGTGGACCTTAGCTAGCTCTGCCTTTGCAGAGAGCCCTCAGAGGCTTTCCTGGCAAGATGACAAGCAAATGATGAAATCAGTTGCGTCAAGTGCAAACATATATAGATGGGAGATGTAAACCGGGTCCGGGTAGGTGCAAGGCATACTCATTACGTGTACATGGTATGGTCCAGATATGACTTTATCAAATCTCAATTGTAAAACATATCTATCAGAAAACTCCAGTTTAATGCATCACAGTGATGCTCAAAGCAAATAGGCAGATATACTTCCATGTTGAGAAGAGACAAACTTGTAGATTCTAGTCGTGACTAAATCCCTTACCATTGTTCAACATAATAAATGAGAACATTAAGTTGATGTAGGTTAGTTTAGTTGGCTAAAAATAATGTGTTTACCTCCTTACACTCGAGTTTGATCTCCCTTTCCATAATTTAGAATATCGTTTTTTCAAACAAAAAATGAGAACATTGCTTGTGCAAAAAGATCTATATAATTAGGCATCAAAGGACCGGTTTTCATCAGCTACTTCTCTATTTGATTGATTTTTATTTTATTTTTGATCTGAACCATGAGGTGGTACTGGATGGGCCCCAACTATGGGTGGCACCTTTAAGCCTTAACCACAACCCAGACTAATCCCCACTCACACCGGATCGGCCCGTAAGGGGTAAAGTGTTGGCCAAAGTGGTGACTCCGTACGAGAGCAGGGATCGAACCCCTGACCTCTCTTAAGGAATGAGAGTGCCGAACCACTCACACTAACCACCTTGGTTATTTGATTGATTTTTCAATAGTGCGAATTCATTCTTAATACAAATTGGTGTAAGGTGTTGTCTTCCACATACTTTTTTATTTATTTAATTATTGTTTTGTGTGCGCCCTATTGCATTATACTTGGTCCTCAAATCAAACTGGTTCTAATTCTAAACATACAACATGCCCAATAATGTCAAATCATAGTGGAGAAGAGTGCCTGGTGGGTCGTCTTCACTCTTGAGCAGCATGTACCTATCCCTCCCAATAATGTCAATCCATTATATGTTTTCTTTTCTGCAGCACCCAACAATGAACGTTTTATGTTGATTGATATTGATTGCTTGCTGGCCGCTGTTTGAAGTTGACACGCACAATGAAATTTCACGACCCCCGGCTGCGACAACATACACACATACACTTTTGATTTGATTTGATTTGATTTTCAATGTTTTATATTCACAATCACCTCAAAAATACCCAAACATCGACTTGATGATGCAATGTTCTTGACGGATTTTCAATCCTTAGATCAAACACATGCAAGAAAAGTTTATCATCGACTAATGCAACTATGGATTGAAGAGAGCATCATGACAATATTACGTGTGATTACCTATTATTAGTATCACACAACGACGTGATTACTCACAATTATCAATCTATCAAACTATTACTCCAAATCAAGGGTTCAATGAAAAGAAGAAGCAAGGGCAATTAATTAGGGAGAAAAAAGCGACAGAACAACATAATTGCATGTGAAGAACTTAGAAGAATTATTATTATTATTTTTCAATAAAATTATAGTCAAACTCACTTAGGACGGAGCGACTTAAGGACCATTGATGCTGATGTCCCTAAAACTTTGAAATACATGTACAATAACATGTTGTTGCATATAAATATTACAAGAAAACTTTCATATTTACATTAGTGGTCTATGATATGTGAGATTTGGTAAACTTTGTAAAAATCAATCCAACCAAAGCTTATTTTGAGCCCCCCAAACTTAAAATCCTAGCTCCCTTGCTCACTTATATACGTATGCACCGATGAATTTACATTATGACTATGCATGGAATTGCCTAATGTTTGTTTGGCGTTTTAATTGGGTAGGTTTGCCACAAAATCAAAGTGTTCAACAAAATGCCTCAAAAAGGCTGAGGCATGGTAGAGAGCCAAAGGCAACTGACATGTGAGCTTAATTTTGTCCCGACCCGAATGAAGAAAAATTAATGGATACGCCATTGCACTTGCAACTTACAGTGTGTGGTCCAATATTTGTTACAAAAATGTGATATGTGTTGCATTACGGTTTCATTATGTAAATGATGTCACTTCTTTTAAAGATAGATACGTGGTTGATAGTATGCGTTTCGTAACGTAACTCTTTTAATTTTCTTTTCTCAAATTTCCTTTTTCTTGGTAGATAATAATTACTTGAATAAAAGAGGAGAAATACCAATTACACCCATAGAGCCGGAGCACATTGGCGACGATGGCACGGTGACCAGCTCAACCCCATGCTCAAAATCACAAAATCCTTTTAGGGCTTTTTTGGGCTTTCGGGGATTTTGGGGCTGCCGACAACGACACTCCTACTTCCACACGTCGAGTCGCCGAGTGATTTGTGTTTTGCGCGGTCTAAAGACTCGTTTTAGCGCAGTGGTATAAAAGCAAATACGGATCAAAAACAGGGTTAAAGAACACACACAGCTTTGTCTCTCCCCTAGTCCCTCTCATATGTTCCGTTTTTCTAAACGTTGTGATTAACGGCCTCCCTTCTTCTTCTTCTTCTTCTTCTTCTTCATCTTCTGGGTTTCATTTTGGACACATTCAATTCAACCTGTGTGTCCAAGAGAGCCAGAGGCTGCTGAGGCAGGGCGTCTCTACTTGTTACCCTAGTTAACTCTGTAAAACAGCTAAAGTCGGGTGCTTGACAAAGAAGGAGCTCGACTAGCTCAAACGGAGACCATAGCCGTGCCCTAGCCGTAGCCTTTGATCTCTCACCATTGCCCACTTTGTTTAGGTAAAGAAGGAGCTCGTCGACCTCCAAGTGTACGCTTCAAATTTCAAAATTCCTAATTTCCCTTGCATTTTTGCCATTTTTTCTCACTCTTCCTTCTTCTTTAAGCCCCTGTTTTGAGCTTAATAGCGTGTTATTGTTATCAAAATCCTATCTTTTATCCATATGTGATCGCGGTGTATTAGGGTTTTGGTTGATTGCTTAATGATCGTTTGGTTTTAGTGGAGTGGCTACTGTGATCGCGCTATATTAGGGTTTGAAATTGTAATTAATGGGGGCGTTTTGAATATGAAAACGATGGTTAGTTTATTAGGTTTTTCTGGGCATTGTTCTGATGGTAATTTCTGCTACATGGCTATCTAACTTTGTTAAGCTGGACTCTTGAGCTTTCATCCAACTGTCAGCATTATACTGATTTTCCAAAATCTTGGTTTTGCTTGGCTTATGCCAAACAAGCATTTAAATGATTGATTTTTTAGTGCGCCAAATTTCAAATTTGTGGTTAAAACTGAAGCTTTGTGTTTAATTTGTCTGTAGGTAGATTTTCGAGTGAAAAGTAGCGCCCTTTAAACCATTCCCAAATGTCATGGACGGAGAAAGATGTTGGTAATGGGAGAGATGGGGACTCAGTTGGAGAAAATGGATTCTTGGATGGTTCACATCCTTCTCCTAGTACCAGTGGCTCTATCGTTGCTGTATCTCCAGTAGGGAAGAGATTTGAAGTGAAAGATGCTCTGTCTTATGCCAATATTCTTCGCTCGAGGAATAAGTTTGCTGATGCTCTGAGTCTTTATGAGACTGTGTTGGAGAAAGATGCCGGAAATGTGGAAGCTCATATTGGAAAAGGAATATGCTTGCAAATGAAAAATATGGGAAGGCTCGCTTTTGATAGTTTCACGGAAGCAATCAGGTTGGACCCACAGAATGCATGCGCCCTCACACATTGTGGTATTTTGTATAAGGATGAGGGCCGCCTAAGGGAGGCTGCTGAGGTATGCCCCCCTTAACTTACTATTTTTATCTAAAAGAACAAAAAAACAATAGAAATTTCTTTGGTGAGTAACAATACAAAAGTGCTTGGCACTTCGCAGGCCTACTGCAATGCTTTAGTATTTGTTTATTTGCGCCCAACCACCCTTTTCAATGCATTACTAGTTACTGAGTGTATGCATAAGAAATGAATAAGTACACTTGATTGTCCATTGATTTCAATGATGACATTTAACTATTTTACTCTAGACCTTTGAACGGATCCTGTCCAAGTAAAGTTGTATTGATGATATATCTGTTATCTACTACTTTTTTGTGCTTTGAGTGATTGATAAATCATGTTTAAAACTATGAAATATTACCAATTAACAAACAATTTTGCTTGGAACAGTCATATCAAAAGGCTCTAAAAGCAGACCCTTCGTACAAACCCGCTGCGGAATGCCTAGCCATTGTATTAACAGATCTTGGAACTAGCTTAAAGCTTGCTGGCAATACTCAAGAGGGACTGCAGAAGTATTATGAAGCTTTGAAGACAGATCCACACTATGCTGTAATTTCATATTCTCTGTCCTCCTTTCTAATGGTTTCTACCCTTTTTTATTCTTCTTGTTTTCTGTTCTTACAGATTTATATTCTTACCTCACTCTGTAAATGCAGCCTGCATATTATAACCTTGGTGTTGTCTACTCTGAAATGATGCAATTTGACACTGCCCTTAGTTGCTATGAGAAGGCTGCACTGGAGAGGCCGATGTATGCTGAAGCATATTGCAACATGGGTGTCATTTACAAAAATCGTGGTGATTTGGAGTCTGCTATTGCTTGTTACGAGAGGTAGTCTACTGTTTGCATTCTATTGGTCGGTCTAAGTTGAAGCTTGCATAGATAGCTGTAAATCTTGTTGATGGTTATATCTATGCTGACGCTATGCTTGCTTGGTTGCTATGCTGTCCTAGGTGTCTTGCTGTTTCACCAAACTTTGAAATTGCAAAGAATAATATGGCAATAGCCTTGACAGATTTAGGAACAAAGGTGATACCTCGTCCTTTTTATTTTTTGGGTTTTCCTGCCATATCATTGTCTTGTTGTAATCAATTATGTTATCCTCATCACTTTTCTTCTAGGACTTCCATTTTGGTTCTGCTACCTAATTTGTTATTTGTGATCATCATTGTTTTGTTGGGCTTATTTTCTAATGATTGGTTTGGTGTAACTTTTAAGAAGTGGCTGCTATTTTTTTGTTTGTTTTAAAATATTGTGCCGAGGGCCCAAGAGAAATCGTGTCCTAGAAGGCAGTAAATGGGTCTGGTCAGATTTATCGCACTCTCCTGTCACTAGTGTAGATGTTTCACCTAGATGGATTTAATCAATCCTCAATGATGAAGAGATTTTTCTGGCAAAGCTGTGGCACTGACATCATGGACTCAAAATCAAACTTTCCACCAGGAAAAATTAGGTTATTGGGTTAACCCAACTCAAATTTCTGTTGAATCACCTGGAAATGAGAATCAACCCACAAATTACTCAACTACACAACCACGAAAAAAAAGTCCTAGGCTTTTTACCACCTAAATTTTACTGGTAGCATGTGCCTGATAAGTTGGCAGTTGGCTGGGCCATGTCGGTCGGGTGAGCCTGGGGAGTGTTATGCTTGACCAAACATAGATTAGATTTGTATCTTCAAGGCTCTTCTAAACTCTTCAAGCTGTCTACTTAATGATTTCTTCTTGACTAGTTCAAGTGAGCACATCAGGCATTTGCCAATCCTAAGAATATTATATACTAGCACCAAGGACATAGGTTGTAAACTGGTAATTATGATTTTAAATTTTTGACGAAGTATTAATTATGGGAATTTGGCATAAATAAAAGAGATATTAGCTGGTGAAAATCATTGAAGCATTTTGGTAAAGAGTGTATAGAAATCCTAACTTCTTAGTTCTCCTATTTAAAGAGAATGCTGTTGAAAATGCAGAAATATTTTGTTTGTCCCTCATCAATTAGATGTGTCAGTCAAGGGGGAACTATATGAGTTATGACTTGAATTTCATTTGCTCTTATTTGTCGTTGCTCAAATAGTTCAATAACCAAAAAGGGTGTCTGGACTCTGGAGATCTCATCATAGTGTTTCTTCAACATTTTTAACTCGATGTCCAGCATCACTAACTTAACTCCAATCAGTAACATCCGTGAAGAAATTTTGGTTGTCAAACCTGATTATTTTATTGACTTTGGGTGAGATAAACATGATGGTACATATTCGCTGCAGTGACCCAAATGTTTTTCTGTTCCAGAGTCTTTCCTCAGATCTGTCTGGCCTATCTATTTTCCTTTCATTTATATGAAACACACCCTAACTCATTTTCAAGAAATTCTCATGTTCCCTATTTTCTCATTATGATCAAATTTCCAATTTTTTTATTATCTGATTTTGGATTCAGTAACATGTTTGTTAGGTTAAATTGGAAGGTGACATTGATCAAGGTATATCCTATTACAAGAAGGCTCTTTATTATAACTGGCATTATGCGGATGCTATGTACAATCTCGGTGTTGCTTATGGTGAAATGCTTAAGTTTGACATGGTAAGTTTTTATTTTTATAAAAGGATCTCTCTCTCTCTCTCTCTCTCTCTCTCTCTCTCTCTCTCTCTCTCTCTCGCTCACTTGGATATATTTTCTTTATTGGTTAAGTCAGTTCGACATGGCGGTGGTAATCATTTTCTGTTTGTGCAGGCCATTGTGTTCTATGAACTTGCGTTCCACTTTAATCCCCATTGTGCAGAAGCATGCAATAATTTGGGAGTAATATACAAAGATCGAGACAACCTTGATAAAGCAGTAGAGTGTTATCAGGCAATTTTTGATACTTGTACAAAAAAAATTCTTTCTTTTCCCCCTTCTAAAATACTGATTGAATGATGTTACTGTCATCAATTTTGTTATCATCATCGTTGGTTATCCATTTGCAGTTGGCTTTGTCGATCAAACCAAACTTTTCACAGTCGTTGAACAATCTTGGTGTTGTCTACACTGTCCAGGTTTGGTTTCAATCCCTTCTAGGTGTCAGACTCTAGAATGTCTATATATCATATATAAATGACTGCTCTTTGCTATTGGCAGGGTAAAATGGATGCTGCTGCAAACATGATTGAGAAAGCTATAATTGCAAATCCCACATATGCAGAAGCATATAACAACTTGGGTTGCTCTCTTTTTCTATGACTCTCTGAGTTTTTCCTTCACTGAGCTTTTTCCGTTCACATTACTCTTAGAGACACTATGCAAGATTTGGGCATTGTGATTGTTTTTGTATGATGGAAGTAGTTCTGTGAGTTGAGTTGTAGCAACTCATAATGGAAATGGTATTATGATAGGCATTTTCAAATATTCCCAGAAGCAAGATTGTATATATATACAGAGAGCTTCCATTGAGGGGCCCCTCAAATAAGTTATTTGAGGGACAACCTTGTACTCCGCATTGTTTTTCACTAATCCAAACCGTCTATTTTGTAGATATTCATTCAAAGATCATCTCTTCAAAAAATCACTTGAATCCGATATCGTTTGACCACTCAATTAAATTATTGAAATTCAAGTACTTTCTTGAAACACCGTGTTCATTGATTTTGTTGGTCTCAATTAGATGCCTTAATGATATTCAATTTGCATGATTTTTTGCAAGGATGATCTCTGAATGAAGATGTGAAAAATAGATGGTTTGGATCGTTGAAAAATAAAGGGTGTCCCTCAATAGAAGGGGATTGTATGTATATATATCATTTGAAAGAGTCTAAGAGGTTTGATCCTTCAAAAGGCAGAGTCTAAGAAAATAAGAATTCCTACATATAAGAGAAAATGCCAAACGCCTGCTTTGACCCATATTGAAATTGTTGTTTCCTACTTGGCTAATGTAAGGACGGGAAATTTTCTAAATAGAACGGTTAAGATATTCTTCTGATTTTATTCATAGTGAATTTTGAATTTTTTGTTCTATTGTGGTGGGTTATGCTCCATTTTCTTTTAATTATAAATTTTGTTGTAAATTCATATCTGTTTATCCTTTTTGTGCAGGGGTTCTCTACCGAGATGCTGGAAATATAACTCTGGCTATTGATGCGTATGAGCAATGCCTAAAAATAGATCCTGATTCCCGGAATGCAGGCCAGGTATTAATTCTCTACACATACGATTTACTCACATGAGTGCTAAAGGTCTTTCAATCTGTTTGCTGTGGTTTATATCTGTAATCTTTGTGTCAGTGAAAAAAATGTCAAACTTGGTAGTGGCATGCTCCGGGTTTGATTGCTAATGGAAAATGGGATAGATATTAACAGTTCTGACTTCTGATATGAAACTCATTGGTGCAGTGCCTTTAGATAATGCAATAAATGAGTATTTATTTATTGTTGGTGCTCTTGGTCTCTCTTGGCAGAACCTGTTGTTTGCAAGTTTTGTTTTTAATCTCTATATGGTTGACCATGTTCTTGCAGAATCGATTGCTTGCAATGAACTACATAAATGAAGGACATGATGAGAAACTTTTTGTGGCTCACAGGTCTCAACTAAGTCCTCTTAACTTTGCATGATTTCTTTTCCCTTCTCCTTGTTCAATGAATATAATAAACTTCTAATGAAAAAAAGCAAGTATTGATAACCACGTTGGTATATTATAAAGGTATAGCCTAGACTTATTATACGTGTACCCTATTTATTTATATATTTTTTAACTTTTAACATTAAGTATTACATTAGGCTATACCTTTATAGTAAAGGTATATTATAAATGTATAGTCTAGTGTAGCGGTAATTGTAGTTTTCCTTTTGGCTTTTGTTTATTCTTTTTTATGTTCTGTTTGTCAATTCATAAAAAGATTCAGTAATTGTAAATTTGATGATGCTTAAACTGAATTTATGTACATGCAGGGACTGGGGTAGACGCTTTATGAGGTTATATCCACAGTACGCTTCATGGGACAATCCAAAAGATCCAGAACGACCCCTTGTGATCGGATACATATCTCCTGATTATTTTACTCATTCCGTGTCATATTTTATAGAAGCTCCGCTTGCCCATCATGAGTACGCAAAGTACAAGGTGGTTGTTTATTCTGCAGTAGTGAAGGTATCCTTTTTCTTTCTTTTGTCAATTTATACCTACATTCATCTATGGGGGTCGTGCATTTTGATTTTAAAGTTTGTTCATGGTTCCTGTGTGTCTTACTTTTTCATTTGCATATTTTGCCACATTCTAATTTGCTTTCAATTCCCATTACAACTCCATTCTAAAGCCATATGTTTGGTGAAAACTTGTCATCTCTCTCTCTGTATGTGCTTTAGTTTTCCTCAACCGTTCGCAATACACTGGATGATCATTAATGTCTGTATCCTTCTATTTTTCTGATTTCCTCTCTCCTGTGCTAGTCATTGATTGGTAAATAGAAAATTTTGATTGCTTCACTTATGAGTTTTGACACCCATGTGGAGCTCCCAGAAATCCACACCTGGTTCTACTTTGACTCCTGGAAAGACGCAACGACCGCTTAGACTCTGTGACGGAACCAATTTTTCATTGTCTATTTTCACTTTTGTTTTTATATGCTGCATGTTACATGTATTGTTGCCAGTGTGTTGGTTTCTTCCATTACTTTTACCACTGATACTGTCATTGCCACTTTCTGCATCTTTTAATTTTGTAATGTTAAGAGTTCACACCTTCTACAACAGCCATGAGCCACCACCACCAACAGAATCACTAAGTTCACCTACCATAGGCATTCGTATTGCCTCCATAAAGCTTGCAATTCTCTCATTTTTGTAAAGCTTGGGCCTCCAACAAATGGCCATCTTTACTATATCTAAGTACATTTGGTGCTTGCACTTTTCCACTACAACTATTGTATTTGTGAATAACGCCACCATCACTGCCAACACTATCTTGATTATCATCAGTATCTATCATCTCTTCCACTGTTCGCTAACCAATACTCTCCTAGGATGCGCAAAAAGTTACTTGGTTATTGCTTCACTGGTCATAAATTCTCATGTTCTCTTGAAATTGTGATTTTTATTTTATTTCAATGTTGTATATGTTTCTTAAAGTCTTATTGCTTATATGGAAAATACTATTTGAGATGTTTTATCCCACAGACAATTTGGAATTGATTTTTATATAATGTCACAGGCAGATGCCAAGACTATTAGGTTTAGGGATAAAGTCTTGAAAAAGGGCGGGATTTGGAGAGATATATATGGTATTGATGAAAAGAAGGTTGCGACCATGGTTAGAGAAGATAAGGTTGATATCCTGGTGGAACTTACTGGCCATACTGCTAACAACAAATTGGGAACAATGGCGTGCAGGCCCTCACCTGTTCAGGTATGCTGAAAGGTGTTCTGATTTTTCTCTAGCATATGACTTTAAACATTCTTGTTATTGTTAATTTGTGTAATTTTTCTTTGTTGACTCATATCTTGTAGTGTATAGTATATAATATATTACAAATCTAAATTTCTTTTTGGCCTTGGAAAATCTGGAAGTGGAGCAATGTTAAAAGAGCATCTTTATCCTGGAATAACCATATGATTTTCCTATTTATTGTACAACTTTCTAAGCATCGCGAGTTGCTTTATTTTTTAAAGCCTGATGGTTTTTTCAGTTCAAAAAACAAAGGCTTCACATCAAATTTGTTCCTTTTGTTGTCACGTACCTCACTCATTCACTGTTTGATTGCGTATTTGTACTGGATCGTGTGCTTAAATTAGCTAACCTGCTATTGCTGGATTTACAGGTGACCTGGATTGGCTACCCAAACACAACTGGTTTACCGGCAATTGACTATAGAATCACAGATTCACTGGCGGATCCTCCTGATTCAAAGCAGAAGTAGGTCTACTACTATTACCCCTATAATTAGTACTCTTGTTTCTTCTGAATTCAAGCATGAGTATCCGCTAGAGTAGGTAGTACCAGTACATTTTTATGTAACTTTGATCTGTTTTTTTTTTTTCGGTCAGGCATGTTGAGGAGTTAGTTCGATTACCAGACTGCTTCCTGTGTTATACACCTTCCCCTGAGGCAGGGCCTGTTTTGCCCACTCCTGCTCTTTCCAATGGCTTTATTACTTTTGGCAGCTTTAATAATCTGGCAAAGGTATTGGCTAGGTTGTTTTTCTTGTATCAGATGTATAGCTAAAACCATAAGCAACTAGATTACTTATCATAGAATAAAATTCTTGTTTCTTTCAAAAAAATAAAAAAGATCATACTTTTCGTGTAATGCTTTGCCTCACTCCTCTTTTCTTCTCTCTTATTAGATCACTCCAAAAGTGTTACAAGTTTGGGCGAGAATTCTTTCTGCAATTCCAAATTCTCGTCTTGTGGTGAAATGTAAGCCTTTTAGTTGTGATAGTGTCAGAGAGAGATTTCTTTCAACATTGGAGCAGCTGGGGTTGGAACCACTACGTGTTGATCTTCTACCTCTAATTTTACTCAATTACGATCATATGCAAGCCTATTCTCTCATGGACATTAGGTAAAACTAAGATATTTTTTCTTACATTTGGAAGACAGTAGTATGAAAGTTGCTTATATATACATATATATTGTTTATTTATCCCTGTTGTATGATCACTTCCTATACCTCAAACCTTTCTTACATCGTATGGTTGTCTGAGCCTTCCATATTATCTATGGGGTTCAAATCCAAACTGTGAACCAATTTCCACTCTGGATCTTGAATTGAATAGATTATGTAATATAAAAAATGAACATAGGAAAAGATTTTAATTTGGAAACAAGAGACTTGATCTTTCACAGTCGTAACTAAAGTTAAAATATGTTAATTGAATTATTTATGAATGACTCTAAAAATAATGATAGAAAATAACAAAAACAAATTATTATGTTTGTTAGGGGAAATTAAAGGCATTAAAAATAAGAGATCTTTTTATTCTTTGCAAAAATTGTTCAAGACATGAAGGTAATAGACCCGAAAAAATGTGATTCGAATTGGTTGGGATGAGTTATAAATCACTTACTTACATGCCTATTTGGAACCAATCATATGAATGTTAAGATACTATAGTTACTAATTACTAAGTTGACAGTACTTTTTCTAAGGGAATGATATAGCATTGTATGATGTGTATGATATTATCTTGAATTGACATATTAAATAAGTTGAGATAATTAATTATTAAAAATCTTGGTCAGGGAAATTGCTAGGGTATTCCTAAATTCGTAAGACATTGAGATATTTAAATCAAAACATAGTTAATGAATTTAAGCTTTTTAGAGATGGTGAGATGCATTAATATTATTATTATTTTTATTATTTTTCAATGAGTATGAAAGGAAGGCTACAATATTGGGGGAATAAGAGGGATAACAGAGAAATTATCTCTTAAATCGTATGGTATAGTTGTAATAAGGATATTTATGCTCAGTGAATGTTATACGATATTAATGTTTTTATTTAGTTTAATAAGGAATATTTTCTTATGGGGTGTTTTACGATACTTTTCCTTAGATGGAATATTATGTAAAAAATGAGTCCCCTCCTTGGAGAAGGGTTACTCATAGCTTAATGACTACTAAGGAAAGCAAGTAGAACAAATCTAGTTGATTCCTGAACTAAAATATGGATTCTTCTTTCTTCCCCTTGCGTGCAATGCTCGAATTACAGTCAGTATGTGTTCTTTTAAAGAATTAGTCAGATGTCTAAAAATCAATTGCATTGTTATGTACTGAAAGGTGCTTTAAACTTGTCATTGGGTATTACTTTATTGCATTATAGCTTTGCTCCATGTTTGTCATTGTATGCGTGATTGCAGAGGTAATGCTACTTGTAAATATCACTTTTTGAACGGTCGTTTTGCATGGAAAAAAGAGATTTGGTCAAGTCTTAGGACAGAAATTAGAGAACCATTTGATAATGTATGATGTGTATGCAATAAAGTCTTGCTGGATTCATTTATGCTAGTCCTGCTGGTTGCACATTTTAGTGACGGTTTCACTTGTTTATTGTTGGATCTTGTTTGGAGGTTCTGACCCAAGTCATCTTCTCTGTATGTAGTCTGGATACTTTTCCATATGCTGGAACAACCACAACATGTGAATCTTTATATATGGGAGTTCCGTGTGTTACTATGGCTGGTTCAGTACATGCGCACAATGTTGGTGTTAGTATTCTCGGTAAAGTTGGTAAGGAATTTTTCTTTCGGCTTTTTGGTTTTTTTTTTTTTTAATCAATGTTTACTGGTGTATGGTTGCACGGGAGATTACTGTTTTGCTTTATCGGCCTTATGGTTGGTATGCATATATTTTGGTTTATGCTATAAATGCATAAACAAAGCCAATAGAAGTGTGAGATTATATCTCATACATGGCTAAGAAGAACTGTTATCTTGTGGAGGTAGATTTAAGTATCCTAGTATTTGAGATATAGTGGGATAAAAGAGGACAATAAAGTAAACAATATATGAAAAATAAATGCCTTTGGTCATGGGGGTGGGAGAGCTCATATAGCCAGAGTCTTCTAAGTATCTCCTCACTGTAACAGGTTCATATACATTTTTCACCCCTCACTAGGCAAATAGTTTTATCAGTTTAGAGATCAATTCTTTCGACATCGAACCTTTGATGGATGTGTGTGCAAGTCTTTCTTTTGGTAATGTCTAATATGTGTGTGTTATTGCTAAAAGAGTTCAGCATTGTTTAACCGACTAAACTGGACTTAATACAGGGTTGGGAAATCTGATTGCTAAAAATGAGGATGAATATGTCCAGTTGGCAGTGCAGTTGGCCTCTGATGTTACAGCGCTTTCAAATTTGAGAATGGGTCTCCGGGACCTTATGTCCAGGTCGCCTGTCTGTGACGGACCAAAGTTTACCCTTGGGCTGGAGTCGGCATACAGGAACATGTGGCACAGATACTGCAAAGGTGATGTGCCATCACAAAGGCACATAGAAATGCTACAACAGGAAGTAGTCACTGAAGAGCCAGCTGCTGAAATCTCTGAGTCAACAAGTTTTATAACACCAAGAGAAGGTCCTCCTGGATCTATTAAGACGAATGGATTTATTCCTCTTCCACAGCCTGTGCGTAACCTCTCTACTTGTGAAGAAAATGGAGGAGTCTGATGGGCACATATCAGAGGCGTTTGTACGGGGAATCATATTGCTTTTCTGGGTGAATTGATCTCCTATGGTATATTTAGTCGTGGCTGCTTGTAGTGGAATCGAGTCCGGTGGTAACTAAGGTGGAAGCACTATGTTTACTCGCCTAGGATCACATTTTTTGGGAAACAACTGCTGGCAGCATTCGGAGTCTATATATTATTATCTGCGTACAAAATGAAGAATTGAAAGAGGTGATGCTATACACTACCAATGAAAAAGAGGTGATACTATGAACTGATATTTTAGGTGGCTACCAGCAATTTTTCCCGAGTATAGAATTGTGTTTGTAAATTTCAAGAGAATTTTTTACTTATTTTAGGATTGCTTGTATGATTTTTAAACAGCAAAGTTGGTGAAATTACCGGGTTTGGTTACAATGGAATCCTGTTCGTCTCACAAAATTTCAAAATTGTACGATTTAATCATTTTGATGGTGGCATGGGGGTTTAAGTGTTGCCAATCAGTTCTATGAGATGGATGCATTCTTGTAAATGCAGCCTGATATTTTAGCACGTGTCGAGGCGTTGATTCAAGAAATGTTTCTGCCCGCATATGAAAGTGGGAATTGGAGTTTTGAAACAAGACGTAGTTCTATGAAAGATCACTAAAAAAGAGCATGCATAAAGCAATTTGTAGCACCTTTTTGGTTCCTAAAAGTAGAAAACTTCTTGTGTAGAAGTAATCTTCAAAGGTATAAAATTCAAGTCGGGGAAATTTTTTAAACAGCTTCAGAAATATCAGCAAAATTCATGAGGTTCCACATAAGGTTTAAATCCAGAATTTTTCACTGTTAGTATCCTTGTAAGAAACTGAAATACATTGATCATCATAGTTCTGAGTTAATACAAATATCCAATTAACTTGTTGCAGCTCTTTGGCTTTTTATCTCTGACAGCAGCTTTGCAATGTCTAATCTTTGACAGATGTCCGCAGTATCTTCACATCATGCACCGGCCTGTATTTCGGACAAAAGCACATGTTAAATAGAGTTTTCGACAAATAACACAAACTAAAGTCTTCTAAAAAGTACAGTGAAAAGGAGCAACAATTAGATAGTGTAGACCCTGTGCCATGAATGGCAAACTTTACAAATCTAGGCATGTTAAGGATGCATGTATGGCGGAATATGATTCCACAATCCAAAGCCATGATAAGGTGCCACAATGCGTACTTGCCTAAACACACATTAAATCTATTAACTACGAATTTGTGCGGACAAATGGAGAGTTTCATGTTAATGGTCATAAATAAAGATTGAGTACATTGGGCAAGATATTCCAACTAATGACAATTATCAATTCTCCCAGCATCTTTTATAAGTGAACAAAAGCTTTGCAATTGATAACTCTTAACTAATGACACATTTTATAATTTTTCCAGCATCCTTTTCAAAATATCGACAAGCTTGACCAGTGAAGACATTGTACCACAAAATTGAATCCAAAAAAGAAAATAATCAATAGCCTAACTTTCTCGAATATATAACATCATCGCTTGACATCTCATTTTCTCCCTTCACTTCTCATAAAATTTTACTCAAACCACATCAGATTCCTTTAGCAGATTTTACAAGTCACAATGTCACCTATTTTCACTCCATGTCTTTGGTTTAGTGCAGGGAACCACAACAGGCTGAGCAATTTAGGGGATCTAGCAGTCTGAATCCCTAGAAAAATTGCCAATATCTTACAAAAAGTATAACCATGAATACTCATTTGCAGATAAAACGTAAACACGATGAGGGCATGTATGTGAACTAAACATCAAGAATACAACTAAGGGAAGGCATACCTATCATTATTATCAGTTTGGACACTGCCGAGTCTTTTGATGATTTCCATTCCTTTGCACACTCTTCCAAATATTGTGTGCTTTCCTGTATGAAAACAGAAACAAAAGGCTAAGTGTTATTGGTGCAAGACAAATTTTTACAGCACAAAATTATACTGATGAAGACTGAACAAAAGAATAGAGAGAGCCTTCCCTACTCTTCCATCGAAACCCCTTCATGAAGTTTTGAATGGAGATAACTCAATGGTAAGTAACAAACAAATCCAAGTAAACAGTGTTGCTCAAGCGGAATCCTAACGGTGGTGGTCCAGTTTTTATTGTCACCCAAAGCCTAAGGTTCCCATACAGAAAAAAAATCCCAGTACCATACAGATAAAATTATTATGGCAAGAACTGTTTTTCAGTTTCCAATCGTTTCAATAATTCACACAGTGATGCACTGATGTCTCATGCAAATAACTTCTGGGCAAAAATGGGCTAAAGCCATTTACAGTCAGAAGTGCACCCAACCACATTGTATACTTAGCCCATCATAAAGCAAAAAACATTTACTGGTAACTGCTAAGCACCACTTTTATGCAGATTAAGTAAAAAAAAAGGTGGCATAGTGCACAAAACACATATGAAACAAAATAAAGAAAAAGGACCAAACCAGTTTGATTAAACAAAGTCTAGACATTACTGGGTAAAGATTATATTACCATCCAGTGACGGGCATGGCGCCAGCGTGATAAAGAACTGGCTTCCATTTGTATTTGGACCAGCATTCGCCATAGATAAGATGCCAGCTCCAGTATGCTTCAACTCTGTTCTTATCTCATCCTCAAACTTTGCACTGAAACGCATGATACAAGAAGGCATTAACTATGAATTATGATAAAAGTGTTTCCCACAACCCTTCAATGGGTATAGATTATTATAAAAAGCCTTCAACGTTTAACTAAATAATAAATATAAATAAATAAAAGAAGAAGCAAAGCATACCCATAAATGGATTCTCCACCCCTTCCTGTCCCGGTGGGATCTCCACCTTGCACTATAAAATCCTAAATCCAATTAACAATTCAACCATCAGTAAGGAAAAAACAAAAAAAACAAAAAACGAAAGCAAATGTCCAATTTTGAAACCTTGATGATTCTGTGGAATTTGACATTGTCATAATAACCCCTGCGAGAGAGCTCAATGAAGTTCCTGCAAGTCCTTGGTGCGTGTTTGTAGTAAAGCTACGATTTTCAACGATTTCCAAAAAAAATAAATAACGTCAAAATACGAACTTGATGGATTGAAGTCTCAGCTTGGCTTCTGGGGAAGTAAGAGAAAGTTGGGAAGAAAGAAAATTACCTCAACAGTGAAAGCGCCCATGGAGGTTTCTAGAGTGACCTCCGGAGACCCTCCTTCTGCACTTGCCCACATCTTTCAGACTCCAAGATTCGCACAGACTGAGCAAAAGGCAACTTGGAAAGGGTTTTACAATAAGTCGTTTCGTTTCGTCCCGTAAATAAACCCAGACATCTGAAAGCACGATATGTCGTTACTCAGATACGACCTGTCGTTTGTTTCAAACTCGTGGTTTAAGGCTTCGGGGGGTTTTGGACGAACAAGCAGCAAAAGAGGAAGAGGAAGAGCAGCTGAGAAGAGGAGACTCAGAGCTGAGAGAAGAGAAATGAAATGATGACTGAAGAGATTTGAAGCCCTTGGGGCTTTTGGGCATGGCGGAGATGTTCCAAGGTGGGGTGCACCGAGCTAGTAGAATCAGAAGAGCTGTTGTGATCGGAAATGGGTTCGCGGGTGCAGAGAATCAGAGCATTGGTTTGGTTCGTGCTCTGGGCCTCTGGGGTCGTCAATCCCTCCACGTGAGTATAAATTTTTAATCTTTTTGTAAAGAGAAAACAAAAAAAAAAACTCTTGATATTGTTTTAGCTTGGTTTTGAGCATTGTTTTTGGTTAGTTTTATTGATTGATTAGTGATTGTGCAGCGTGTTACTCGGCCAAGAGGAGGAATTAATGAGTGGCTTCACTGGCTTCCACTTTCTCTCCATAGAAAATTCATGCCTCTTCCTGCTAAAAGAACAGGTACTTGTATTGTTATTAGTCCTTCATGCTGCATTGCAATGTGAATTCTGTCAACAAGTTATCTCTACTGTACTTTATTTTATGTGAGGCCCACTTAGATTTCATAGTTGAAGGGAAGAAGGTTGAACAACTTGAACTAATAGTTCATTTTTCTGCTGAAAATGGTTCTAGCTCAGGCCTCTCATCTGATGTTTTGGAAGCTGATGCAAAGCAGATTGCAGAAATGGCTCGTCAAACATTTGACATGTATGATGCTACTTCCTTTCTATTTTTCAATGATTAAGTCTTTTAGTTAGATACGTGGGTTCCATTATTTGTGCTTCGTGTTCATCATCCTCACAAGCTCATACAACATATATGATGTTACTTTAGTCTTAATGCAGGTGTTTTTGAATTATTTCAAATTTTGTTTGGTAATTTCTTTATTAGTAAAAAACATATCTACATGCATGCTTCATGTTCTCTCCAGAGACGGCCCATTGCTGGTGGTTGCATCTGGCCGGGATACCATTCCTGTTTCAAGCGCCATAAAACATTTAGCTCCAGAAAATGTTTTTGTTGTCCAGGTTAAAGTTCAATTCCCCCCTAAAAAGAGCTGCATATATTTGGCTGGTAAATACTTAATACTGATATACAAAGTGAGGTACTACGGCAGTTCATATACAACTTGTGTTTTTTCTTTCCTGTGTGCATTTGATGTTGTTGCATAAGTTTTACACGCTATGAAGTTATCCGTTTTCTGCTTAAGAAGCACCTATCTTTGAAATTTTTTTTTCTGCTTTTTTTAAAAATAAATTTTTTGCTTCTTTACTTATTTATTTATCATACGTTTAGCTAAAAATTGATTTTTGAGATTAATGGCAATATCATATTATGTTTTTCTGTGGATCACTATGTAATTTGATTGTAATGAATTGACACATGCAAATACTGCTGGTCTAGATTATCTGATTTTATTAGTTCTCTTTGGAAACATGTTTCAGATACAACATCCAAGGTCGCATCTGAATAGGTTTGATTTGGTGATAACTCCTCGCCATGATTATTACCCTTTGACTCCGGAGGGACAGGGACAAATTCCTTGGTTTCTGCAGAGGTGGATTACCCCATGTGAACCACCTGGCAGTAATGTGGTGAGTATCTTGGTTGAATAGGACATGTACAAATGCCTTTCTAGAATAATTGTGTTGACAGGTTCACTTCTATGAGTTTCAGGTTCTCACAGTGGGAGCACTTCATCAGGCGGATTTCACTGCACTTAGGAATGCAGCATCTTCCTGGCATGCTGAATTAGCACCACTTCCGAGACCTTTGCTTGTGGTTAATATTGGAGGCCCTGCAAGTAATATTTTGCATCTAAGAATCCGTCATGATTTTCATGTTGTCATCTTTATAAGGGGATGATTGTGATGGATTTATATCATTTTTAATGTTGTGGTTGCCTTTTTATTTGCTTTTTAGTTTTATGGAATTGCTTACAGGATTATCGGCAAAAGTCATTCTGTAATGTTTGGTTTGATTATATAATTCCTGACATTGCTAGGATTTCACATTTTTTAGTGTTGTACTGTTTTATTGAGTACTGCTATCTTTCGTACTTGTGATCTGGTGTTGATATGTCAGTAGCTCAAGAGTTATCTGTTTATTAAAATTACATTTTGAACCTCTCTTGTATTTTTACATTGGTCAAGCTGTTTCTCCCTGTATGTCTTTTATTTAAAAGATAATCAAAATGCATCCATATTCTTTACATAGGAAACTGTTCATATGGTGTCGATCTTGGGAAAAGGTTAGCAGCTATGCTGCAGAATGTTCTTTGGAGCTGCGGATGTGTGAGAATATCTTTCTCTAGGAGAACTCCTGCGAAGGTACTAGTGCTCCTTTGAGAGTAGATTCTTTAGAGGCTTTATGGATGCATACTTACTTTCTCTGGTTCACGTTTTCAACAGTTGTCCAGAATTTTGATGAAAGAATTCAGTACTAATCCAAAAGTCTACATTTGGGATGGTGAAGGTACTTAGTTGCCTTATTCTTAGAATACATGCATCTGTTTATATATCTATGTGTGTACAGAAGAGGGGAAATATTGATGTTTTTTACTTTATTTTTTTATGTAATACTGCTGCTTAGGTCGTAATCCACACATGGGCCATTTAGCCTGTGCGGATGCTTTTGTCATCACAGCGGATTCAGTCAGTATGTTGAGTGAGGCTTGCAGTACCGGGTAAGTATGATGATGATGAAGGTCACTTTTTCTTTTCTTTTTTGAAAAGGAGAAATTTAGGGTCACTTATTGACAGTTGTTTTAGATATTCCTTTCTTTGGTATGGAGTTGTATATTTCTCGAAGTTCATAATTTTCACTTCAGCAAACCTGTTTATGTGATCGGTGCTGAACACTGTACGTGGAAGTTCGCAGACTTCCAGAACTCCCTGCAGGAACGAGGAGTGGTTCGACCATTCACTGGTAAAGAAGATGTAAGTCCATCAACTTACGGTTGTAGAATTACAGTGTTTTATTGTGAAAGAATTTTTGGTCATCCCGTACTCTTTTGGTTAGTAAATGAGGAAAGAAAGGATGTAAGAGGCTCTCTTTGAATAAGAGGGTGGTTTTTCTTAACAAAGTTTACCTTTGGTTATTAATATGAGTTTTTTTTTTTTTCCTTTTTCTGTTTTTGTTTCCGTAGATGATCAAGTTTTGGAGCTATACACCACTCAATGACACAGCAGAGGCCGCCAGTCGGGTGAAGATGGCACTTGCTGAGCGTGGATGGAGCATATAGTAACTTAGGTAAATGAGCTTTCCAAGCCCTTTGTCTAGCTTACTTCAGTAGTTTGTTTGACCCAGTTTTGTCCAATTCATCTTTTACCAATGTAACCATTATTTTGTATTAAATTTTGCTGTATCGTGCCCCAAGGTTAGGGAAGGCACGTCCTTTTGTATTTGCTTTTATCTTGCGATCGACCCTAGGGTGTTGCTCATAAACAATTTCTTCAATCAAAAGAGCAAATGAAAGAAGCAAGATCAAGGACACATTCTTCACCTAGAGATACAAAAAAAATTTGTTGCTTCTGTTTTCAAGTGTGGTTAAAAGCACCATCAAGGAAAGGAACTAAGTTGTTGAAATTTTGAGAGCGTTTGAACAGTCTTTCTTTCTTTTCTTTTCCCGCTTCCTCGTTGCAAGCGCATTACGCTTACAACACATTCTGTGGGGCCCACACTTAATAAGGTGGGCCCTGAATTCTTGTAACCGAGATAAACTTCATTTGTCACGTGACAAGAGTGATTGCAGAGACAATGGGCTATTGTTCCTGTTTTTTTTTTTGTTCCAAACACAGCACCATAACATGAGCTCGACAATTAAAGAGTGCATATATTATGTGGCTATCCATGCAAAGGAAAAACAATATTGGTACCCTGGACAACCTTAAAGTGTATGCAAATAATGTGGTTTACACTTAACAATGACAGAAACAACACTTTTCTCAGACCCAAAAAAAAAAATAAACAACACTTTTCATTGTTGGGTTAGGGAGCCCTAGCTGTGGTTTAGTTGAGTGATTAAAGAGAATAAAGTTTCTTAGTTAGGAAGCCCTTTTGACTTTTTAAATTATATTACTCTTTTAATAGAATCCAACTTCCCTCTTCTGCATTATATCATCAAAAGCTGAAAGTCCAAATGGTATGCATCATCAAACTTTTCCATCCACTCCTCCTTTTAACAACATATTATTTGATTTTAATTTATTTTTGTGAAAAAAAAAACATATAATATTGAAGTGGTTACTATTTGATCCATCTGCCAGATAAAACCTCTTCACTTTCTCTATGAACAAAAAGTCATATCAACAACTCTCCTTTGCCTCCCATTAGCTGATTAAATTACAAATTAATTTGTATTATGGCCAATTTTAATCTACTAATCTCTTATAATTTGCTTCACTATATAAATCCTCTCATGTTAAGCAGTTTTCATCACAAGCTTCTGAGTCTCTCCCATTCAGCAATTCTCATCTCCAAAGCCTTCTTATTTCTTTTACCTGTTTCTCTCTTAGCTAAAATGAAGAACGGTGACTCAACTACCATTGATGTTCCCCATCATGAGGCCAGCGGAGGCGGCGCATCGAAAGGAAAAGGAGCGATTCTGACAGTCCCTGCAAGGCAAGAGAAGGGAGGGATGAGGAGAGGGATGGCCATAATTGACGTGGTTTTGAGGATTGGTGCTATAATGGCTGCTCTGGCTGCTGCAGCAATCATGGGAACAAGTGATCAAAACCTTCCTTTCTTCACCCAGTTCTTCCAGTTTGAAGCTAGCTATGATGACATGCCCAGTTTCCAGTATATCACTTTCAACCTCTCTTTACAATCTTGCATTTTACATTGTTAGACTATCAATCTGAACCATTATTTGCATGTGACGTTATTAGACTGTGAATCTGAACTATTAATTCAATGAACAATTGTTTATATAATTTGAACCATTATTAGCATGTTACATTGTTAGACTATCAAACTGAATCATTGATTCGATGAACAATTGTTTCTATCCGTGATGCCATTGACAATTTAGCGGCATAACCTATCTATTATCTAACACACTCATGCATGCAATGCAGGTTTTTCCTCATAGCAATGTCACTTGTAGCTGGCTACTTGGTGCTCTCAGTTCCCTTCTCCATTGTCTCCATTGTTCGCCCCCACGCAAGTGGAATAAGGCTCTTGCTCCTCATCCTTGACGTCGTAATATTCATTAACCTCACAATCATACTCAAATCCTCATTAATTAATTTAATTAATCTGTGTATAATAATACTTATGATGACCATGACAGGTGGCACTCACCCTGGCCACTTCTGCTGCTGGGGCTGCAACGGCAATAGTCTACTTGGCTCACAATGGCAACTCAAGCTCCAATTGGCTTGCCATCTGCAACCAGTTTGGTGATTTCTGTAAGACAGTCAGCGGGGCTGTGGTGGCTTCGTTTGTTACAGTTGTTACCTTCTTGTTCTTGATTCTGCTGTCTGCCTTGGCTCTCCGAAAGCATTGAGACAAGATATGGAAGGGGAAAAGCTCTTCAAAAATGACTGTGAACGCTGTTTGTGATTCTGTTTTGGTGCTTTTCTGCATAAGTGCTTTTTCAATTGTTGTGTGAATTTGGTTGTAGTTCATGTAATTTACTTTTGTCTAATGCAAATTGAAAAAATATCGTAATGGAATTTACTGTTCTTCTCTACTTGCATCCTTTTGTCAACTGGTGGTTTTGCTTTTCCTTGTCTCTTCAATTTTCAACTTAAATTAAAAATTAAACACCATTTGCCGTGAATTTGATTCCAACTCTCCAAAGTCTCCACCAAAAGAATTGAATTTTGAACTTCTATATGGTCTATGAATCAAACCTGGACAAAACAAGGACTCATTTATCAAAAATCAAGAAGCACATTGGGGGCACGAAACTTGACCCCCCCACTCATGGAATCAATTTAAGGCGTCTTGAATAAAATCAGCGGCCACCGGCGCATCTCTACCCAAGTCACACAAACAAAGTCTAGCTAGTCTAAGCTATAGGAAGCAAGCAATTAAATTATAACATACCATCATGATGATGATGATCAGAGGTTCAGTCCACAACCACTATATTTTGATATCTGGGGTCAGAGATGGCTGCTTCCATGACATGATCCGGGCCAATTTTCCCGTCATTGTCCAAGAAGGACTTGACCAAATTGTCGTTGAAGCGGTTCATCATCACCATCCCATGCTGTGCATAAGGCGCATATGCAGGCAGGCAGTTGTTCGCTTTCCAGAACACAATCTGTGGCACCTTATACCCTTTGTCCTTGAACTTTCTCTGTATCTCCTCATACTGCACCTTCCAGCAGTAGGAACGACTATCGTAGCCGGCAGCCTTATCTAAGTCTACGCAGCTGGTGAACACGAACACCCTCCTGATCATCTGCTTCGGCTTCAAATCATTCTTCACAGCAACCTCTAAAACAGAATCAAACACCAACTCCAAATCAACCTTCCGCTGCCCCATGTCCATCCTCTTCAAAATCTTTAGCTTGGCCTTGAGATCGCCTTGTAACGAATGCATCTGCGGATTTCGACTGAAATTCATCAACTTTCCTTTCCATGGCTCTTCACTCAGTTCAGAGATCATCACTGCCAACGCCACCGCCGCATTTCTATAGTTGTCATACACAGCCAAGCAGTTTTTGAACTTGCCCCGCTTTCTGATGTGCTTCACCATTACCTTCCACTGAAGCTCGGCCACTTCGCCGACGTCCCCGTCGTTCGCATAGCAGGCGATCTCATGTGGAAGCAAAGCACCGGCGTCAATCTTCGACTTGCCGCCACCGCCGGCTGCTTTCACTTCCTTCAAATACTTCTTCACCGCACAGGGCTCCCGCTTGGACTCCTTTTTATAACCCCACCTGTTGAAATCTTTGTCTAGATCACAGTCCTCCAAGGCCTTCCTCAAGGGCACCAAAACCTCCTTGATCAGCCGCTGCCGGACTCTGTCGGTGTAATCCGACTCCTCAACACCTAAGTATTCCGGGTAAGATTCTCGCAGGAAAACCTTCTTGGCGATGCTCTCGCAGAGCAAGGTTTTGCGGTTGAAGTCGGAGTCGAAGTCAGGGCACGACAACCCGGCCGAGGTTATCTCCAAGCACTCAGCAGCAGACGTTTCGTCCTCATCGTCATCATTGATACTCTGTTGTTGCTGATGGTGTTTGTTCAAGTTTTGAATATCGGACTTCAAGCAATCGGAGAAAAGATCCGAAATCCCGTCGTGTAAGATCCGATAATTCGGGTCACACTGGTACATCTCGACGGCCTTGCGGGCCCATGCGAGGATCTCTTCTCTACTCGGAGCACGTGGACTGGAGAAGCCGGGAGGCTTTTCGATCTCCGAGTAGAGATCGAGATGGAAGAAGAGTTCTTGGCCTTCCAGGATCTGGGATAGAATATCCAGAGCGGTTGTTAAACTTCCGAAGGACCCGGCGATGGACGGAAGATTGAAGGCCAGGGTCTTAGGGTGGTTCTGGTAGAGCCAAAACATCGCCGTGTAGAAGCCGTCTCTATGGTCTTTTCCGGTTTTGTCAAGGCTATCTAGTAGGTTGAAGATGAGCTTAAGGGTCGTTGGGGGATTGTGGGACCAGGCCACCGGCAGCAGTTGCTTCAGATACATGTCGATTTTGGAGCACGGCGTCATGATTTCACGACAGAGGTATTCGATGTATCCGTGTGGTAAGACGTCGTAAAACAGATCAAGGCAGGGGTTACCGTAGGAAGAGAAGAGCTCGCTGGTCATGTCGCACTTGGGTTTATATCTTGGGAGTTGTGGAAGAGCGACAGGAGGAGGAGGAGGAGCTGCTACTCTTTTGATGTTCAGTTGTGGAGGCGAAGGCGAAGAAGAAGAAGAAGTGTTGCCGAAGACATTGAGATGGTTCCGGCATGCTTTCAGAACCGAAGTGACATACACTTGCACCGGTTTCTTCATCTTCCTTGAATGTTTTTTATACAAAATGAATTTTGTGCTTCGGAACTGATATTATTTATTTGGATCAACGATATAAAATCCCCCAAATTTTTCATACTCAAATTCACGAAATCCCGATATCCAAGCCCGATAGTCAAATAAAGTAGGGAAAATATTCAGTTATGCTCAGATTTGCTCATCTTTTATTCTCTCCAATATGAAGGTATTTATAAAGAAGTACAACCCTAAATAAAATAGGAAATAAATCCAAATTACAATAGAAAATAAATCTAAATTACAATAGGAAATAAATCTTAATTATAATTGGACTAGACAAATAGGTAAGTAACTAAAATCCTAACTAAGTAAGGACTCGCCAACACTCTCCCTGCCCAACTTGACAAGCGAGTCGCAGAACACCATACTTGAGAAGCACCAATTGTAGAGAAGGTCTTTTCGTCAACCACGAGTGAAACAAGTGACAAACTAAAGCAAAGTTCGCAGGGGAAACACGAGCAAACCCTAACAAACAAGGCACATAGAAGAACACATAAAAGTATAACACAGAAACCCTGTGAGCACAGCAGTAGATAAGGCAGAACACAGACACCCTGTGAGCACGGCAGTAGGTAAGACAGAACACAGAAACTCTGTGAGCACGGCAATAGATAAGACAGAACACAGAAACCCTGTGAGCACGGTAGCAGGTAAGGCAGAGCACAGAAACCTTGTGAGCATGGCAGTAGGTAAGGCAGAATACAAACTCTATGAGCACAGTAGTAGGTAAGGCAATATCAACGACGGCAACAACGACAACAGCAACATCAAAGGTAACAGTAGCGACAATGGCAACAATATCAACGACGGCAACAACGACAACAGCAACATCAAAGGTAACAGTAGCGACAATGGCAACAATAAATTCTTCCATATAAACTTTAGCTAATTCACGCAGACACAACTTCTCTTCAATCCTTCTAAATTCACGAAATCCCGATATCCAAGCCCCTCCCTTAGCTTAGCGAGACTGTTATTATTTATTTCAATGAATTTGTGGATTTTGTTTCTTGTGCTCCACTCAATCAGTCAACCTTACTTGGCCTCCAATTCTTTGGCAGTTTCTTTTCCCTAGAACCCTTTTGTGCTCCTCCAACATGTCATTAGCTCATTCTTCTTGACAAACCCCTCAATGAATACTTATGTATACCAAAAATCTTTTTATTTTTTATTTTGTGCTCTTGCATGTTACTTTGTTAGACCGTCAATTTGATTTGTTTGATTAAATGAACTATTTATTTAAATGCGTGGTGCCATATTGACAATTTAGCTACGTAACATACCTTGAGTCTACTCAATGGCAATTCAAGCTCCAATTGGCTTGCCATCTGCAACCAGTTTGGTGATTTCTGTCTGAAAGTTATATGAGCTGTGGTGGCTTCGTTTGTTACTGTTGTGTCCTTCATGTTCTTGATTCTGCTGTCTGCTGTGGCTCTCCGAAAGCACTGAGAGAAGATATGGAAGGGGAAAAGCTCTTCAAATAACTGTGAACGCTGTTTGTGATTCTGTTTTGGTGCTTTTCTGCATAAGTGCTTTTTCAATTGTTGTGTGAATTTGGTTGTAGTTCAAGTAATTTACTTTGTCTAATGCAAGTGGAAAAATAATTGTAATTGAATTTACTGTTCTTTCTCTACATGCATCCTTTTGTCAACTGGTTTTTCTTTTCCTTGTCTCTTCAATTTTCAACTTATATTAAAGATTAAACATCTGTTGCCATTAGTTTTATTCCAATTCTCCAAAGTCTCCTCCAGAAGAACTGAATTTTCGAACTTCTATACGGTCTATGAATCAAACCTCGACAATGGGGGCACGAAACTTGACTATAAGGACGTCTTGAATAAAATCAAGGGCACCGGGCGCACCTCTACCCAATTCACACAAACTAAAAGTCTAGCTAGTCTAAGCTATATGAAGCAACTAAATTAAAACATACCATGATGATGATGATTAGAGATTTAGTCCACAACCACTAGATTTTTATATCTGGGGTAAGAGATGGCTGCTTCCATGACATGGTAAGGGCCAAATTTAATTTTGCCGTCATTGTCCAAGAAGGACCTGACCAAATTGTCATTGAAGCCACTCAACATCTCCAGCCCTTCCTGCTGTGCAGATGCTACATCTGCATCAGTCGAACACCTTCTCAAATTCCAAACACAATCTGTGGCACCACATCGCCGTACCCTTTGTCCTTGAACTTTCTGTGTATCTCCTCATACTCTGTCTTCCAGCACCCATCAAAGCCATTCTCGCTAGAGAACACGACCAACCTCCTGATCATCTGCTCCGGCTTCAAATCATTCTTCACTGCAACCTCCAAAACCAAATCAAACACCTTCTCAAAATCAACCCCCCGCTCATCGTACTCCATCTCCATCCTCCCCGCCAACTCCAGCTTGGCCTTGAGATTATCGAGGCCTTTTAACGAATGCAGCCGCGTATTTACACTGCAATTCATCAACTTTCCTTTCCATGGCTCTTCACTCAGCTCAGAGATCATCACTGCCAAAGCCGCCCCCCTCGCCACTTTTTTATCTCCGCAGTCTGCCTTTAAGCATAACCAGTTGTCATATACAGCCAAGCAGTTTTTGAACTTGCCCTGCTTTTTCATGTGCTCCACCATTGCCTTCCACTGAAGCTCGGCCACTTCGCCGAAATCCTCCTTCTTCACATAGCGTGCTATGTGATGTGGAAGCAAAGCACAAGCCTTAATCTTCGACTCGCCGGCGGCGGCTGCTGCTTTCACTTTCTCCAAATACTTCTCCACCGCACAGGTCTTGGGCTTGGGCTCGGGTTCCGGATTATAACCCCACCGGTTCACAAGTGTGGAATAGTCGGGGCTCATCAAGGCCTTCCCCAAGGGCACCAAAACCTCCTCCCTCAGCCGCTGCCGGACTCTGTCGGTGTAATCCGCCTCCTCAATGCCTTGGTACTCCGGGTACGATTCTCGCAGGAAAACCTTCTTGGCGATGCTCTCACAGAGCAAGGTGGCGTGGTTGAAGGGGGAGTCGAAGTCAGGAAACAACTTCGCTGCCGAGGTTATCTCCAAGCACTCAGCAGACGTCTCGCCCTCATCGCCGTCATTGATACTCTGCTGCTGTTGCTGATGGTGTTTGTTGAAGTTTTGTATGTCGAACTTCAAGCAATCTGCGAAAATATCCGAAACACGGTCGTGTAAGAACCGATAATCCGGGTCGCTCTGGTACCTGTCGAGGTAGGCGAGGAACTTCTGTCTCCTCCGAGGGACCCCGGTGGTTGTTCCGTCCTCTGAGTGGACAGAGAGATGGAGGCGGCGGTCATGGCGTTGTAGGATCAGGGATAGAATATCCAGAGCGGTTTCTAAACTGCCGAAGGAGCCGGCGATGGACGGGAGGTTGCAGGCCAGGGTCTTGGGGTGGTTGTGGTGGAGCCAAAACGCTGCCGTGTCGAAGCCCTTTTTGTAGTTTTTGCAACGGGGAGGACGGCGGTCTAGTAGGTTGCAGATGAGCTTGATGGTGGTTGTGGGATTGTGGGCCCATGCCGCAGGCAGCAGTTGGTTCAGATACTGGAGGGAATGAACGGGGTAGGCGTCGTTTCGTTCGGCGTTGTAAAACAGATCAAGGCAGGGGTTGCCGCGGGAGGGGTAGAGCTTGTTGGCCATGGAGCTGTCGGATAGAGGCGCCATTATAAGAGTTGTTCGAGTTGCAGGAGCAGGAGAAGTAGAAGTATTGCCGATGGCATCGAGATAGTTCCTCCGGCGGCATGCTTTCAGAACCGAAGTGATATAGACTTGCACTGGTTTCTTCATCTTCAACAGGAGCTTTCAGAACCCAAGTGATAGAGTTTGTTTCTTGTGCTACACTTCAATGAGGCCTCCAATTAAACATAGAACCAGCAGCTCCCTTGGATTTAGGATTTTTTTCGGTTTGAGAATCCTAAACAATTAAAACCATTCCATATATAATCAGTTCTATTTATTTATTTTTCTTATTGTATTTGGAAAAAAAAAAAATTTACAACAATCTGAACCCTACTTTGTTACAGAAAAAAATAAAAATGGTATGGGTAAGTAAGGTCATGTGCGGTATCCTACTTGAATCCAATTTTATAAACTCAAAAACATATTTGAAGTTCAAATCCGAAAAAACCCATTTGGTAAGCCCATTTTTAAAAATGGGAATATCAAACAAGTTTTTAGATCGTAAAATTTCTATTTGAAAACTCATATTTTTAAAAAGAATCATAGTGTTTGAATTTACTTTTTCGAGTAAGATATCATACAGTTGATTGAGGGTTTTGTGAAGAAGAAGAGAGGATATTTGAACCCCAAAATCAACAATCTTGGCATTAATTTCCTACCAAATATATGTCCTGATTTTCTCATCCTATTCTGTGCACAAAAAACTAAAGAGTGTGGTCTTAACATTAGTATTTAACATAATTCTTAAAAGTTGCTAACAGAAGGGTTGAAGTGTAAGGTTTTTGTGAATTTGGATATGGATTTTTGAAGTTGGGATACCGATTTGAAACGACTCTCCAAATTCGGGAGGTTCTATGTAGTAAATTTTAAAAAAATGGCACCATGATAGGGTTTGGGTGTACGATTTTCATAAATTTAGATATGAGTTTGTTGAATTTTCCATTGAATACCAATTTAAACAAAGTGGCACGATGATTGTGGTCTTAACTTAAAAAGTTAGGTTTAGCACTTCTTCAATAAGCATCGACAACATTTAAAGACAGACTCCGTAACTTTCAAGCTGATGAAGGAAAGCAAGGTTTTGCGGCTTCATTATTCTATACCAAAGCCACTTGTCTTTACTGAAAATATATGTTTTTCATGGAACCTTTCTTGAAACACGCCAGCATGTTTTTCATGAAAGAGGAAAAGAACCTGTGTTTACATTTTTTTCCAAAGTGCAAGATAACAGTAATAGTTAGTTAAGAGTAATAATTTTTTTTAAATAAATAAGCCGCGTGGCTCTTTGTAATATTCAAAGCGTATAGCCGTTCGGCTATACTGGGGTTTTTATTTTTTCAAATTAATAGTATAGCCACGCGGCTGTACTCTATAATATATATAAATAGTATAGCCGCGCGGCTATACTGGGTTCTTTTTTAAAAATAAAATAAAGAGTATAGCTGCACGGCTATACGCTTTTAATGTATACTGTCATCCCTTTATTTTTATCCCCGATTATTTTTGTTTACGATAAGAGTATTTTAGAGCATTATCCGAATTTTTATTGTCCCATTTTGATTTTTTACTTTTCCAAAGTTATTACCAATATAAAGAATTTAGCTTTTTCCCATTTAATACTCGTATTATACACGTACGTATGTATTTTTCAATAATACTTCCGTTTTCAATATATGTCTTAAAGACTCGGTAAAATGCACATTTAAAAAAAAGTAAACATACAATACACATATTGTACACTTACGTACGTATTTTTCATGTTTAATACATTTTTTTTACAAAATTTTCAATAATACACACAGGTATTCTTAAATAGAAAGACAACAAGAACATACACCCCATAATAATAAAAAATACTAATATCTCAGAATCTACATCATTATATTAACTTAATTATCAGATTTTTAAACTTAGAACACTTTCCGACAAATAAAATATGTACACGGTGAACTTGCAGGCTTACAGCATAGCAAGATTATGTGAAGTACATAGTTCACCTTTTAAACAATTCAAATTGCAAAATACATCGGCTTCAAGAATAACCCCATTCAATCGCACTGACAAAGAGCGCAAAGACTGAGAAAGAAAGACACAGGATGGCAACGTAAGGGTCACACCATCGGAGAAATGAAGATCAAGCTCTTCAACATTACACCTTACTGCATTAAGAATCCAGCCGATCACTCGAAAATGATCATCAGAAAACTTGCTTTCAGCTTCGGCTGTAAAGAAGCTCCATTTAATGCTGAAAACTTGCATCCCCGGTCTCAAAAATATGAAAAAGAGTTATTTACATTAATATTTCTGAGGTTTCTTGTGTTTTCATAAAACCCCCTCAGGTCTCAAAAATTACACGAATACCACTTAAGGTTTCAGTTTGTTTTCACAAAACCCCTTTTCGTTGATTGTTTGTCTTAAAATTGATGATTTCATTGAAAAAACACTTATGCAAACGAAAAAATTATTCTCAATGAAGTATATGCAATCTAATCTCATAGGCCAACTTTGTCATTTGGTGAATTTTTTTTTGTTTAAAATCATCAATCTTTGAATGAAAAATAAATGAAAATGAGTTTTGTAAAAATAATTTAAAACGTCAGGGGGTGTTCTTATTATTTCTAAAAGCTCAATGAGTTTTGTGAAGAAGCCAAAAACCTCAGGGTGTTAGTGTAAATAACTCATGAAAAACTCTATTATATTATACCCATTTGTAAATTGACTAAATACAGGTAAAAAATGATTACAGAGAAAGAGAAAGTAAAAATTTTGAATATAGCTTTTTCGTAATTTTGATTTACATAAAGAGCAAAGTTGAAAAACTATATTGTTTGAGCAAGAAATTCTGGAGCACAGACCTTCACAAGAAAAAAACACAATCATCCCCCATTACTCATGTCACATCTCAAAACAAGAGGCCCCATACTCTTCTCAGCTTAATGAGTCATTGAACATAAGGAACAAACAGTATCAACATAGCGATATCACTACATTGACTGACAATAGCCATTGAACATGTATCCTAAATTCCCAAAATGGATCTATCAAAATGGATTCATCTTACTTTTCCTGGAAGGTAAGTGTGGCATCGGAAATTATCTTACTCTCATTTAGCTTCTTTATAACATCAGATTGCTTGGGTGAATAAATTATGTTCATTTTCTCCAGGGCCTCAGCATGCTCGAGTATGTACCTTGCAAACTCAATTCCATTGGACCCTTCGGTAAGCTTTATGGTAACCTCCTCCAACTGATAAATAAAATCCAGATTTTGCAGCTTCCAGTATTCCATATCAAACCCAGATGCCTGGACCTGGACCTGGAAAAGCAAGAAGAAAACAAGCAACTCAATTGAAAATTTCCAAAAACCAAAACAAAGAACACAGAAAGGAAATCTACATTACTTTAATAGCATGATAATTATGCTCCTGATTCTTGAAACGATGTATATAATATATACACTCATACATATACATATATAGAGAGAGAGAGAGAGGGAGAGACAGAGAGAGAGAGACTTTGACTTACGTCATCAGATTTACGAGCGTAAATAAGTGAATCATTCTTTATGTGTAAAGTACACAAATTGGGCATTCCTCTTAAAAGAGAGACCATTGATGGGACGAGATCGTCACTAATGCTCTGAGTATTCAGAGTCAAACACCAAATATCATCGAATTGAGCTGGAATGGATCCTTCCCTGTACAGAGCCTGCAATGGGACGAGATCGTCACTAATGCTCCGAGTATTCAGAGTCAAACACCAGATATCATCGAATTGAGCTGGAATGGATCCTTCCCCGTACAGAGCCTGCAATGTTATAATGGTAAAACCTATATCACGTTTCTCAAACTACTTGTCATTCTTTTTAACAAAACCTTTAAGGCATAAATATTATCTTTTATTCAAAGCAATGCCATCATGCAAAGTTCCAAACAATTCTGAAATGTAAGAAACAAATATTTGCTACTCCTACTATCCCGAAACAAGGACAGAGTTACAAATTAGTTCAAATTGCTCTAGTTTTTGCAACAAAATAGAAATTGAGTCTAGAGGGATAGAGGGAACTGATTCTCTTTACCTTAACGGTTGCTTCATTTAGACCAAGAACTCCAACCCTGCGTACACTGCAAAGAGCCTCAAACACGTTTTCAAATTCATCTACTTTAGGATCCAGAAAAATATATGCTTCTTCCAAACATTCTAATTCTCCAAGGTTTGGGTGATTCATGACATTCCCAACCCAACGCAAAAAATTTAGATTTGGAGCAAAAATATTTAATGAGTGGTCACCGGATAAAAAAAATCCCCAATCGATCCTTATGCTTTCAAGTTTCTCACCTGAGATTTTAAGATGGCAGATTTGAGACCCATAAGGATCACAAAAATTAAATCTTTCCAAAGACGGGCTTTCGATGGTGATGCTTTTTATATTTCGAACTCCGGCAACAGTTAATTGCTTGATGCATTTGCAGGAACATGAGATCCATTTGAAAAACGCCTCATCTTCTATATCAAGCTCTCCCAACTCCAAGCAATTGAGATTAGAGGAAAAGGCAGATTGGGGCGTTTTAATAATGATGCCCTTCATTTGCACCACATTTAGAGACCTCAACGATGTGGAAAGAAAGACGCAAGATGGAAATGCCAACCCTTCCTCCTCAAAATCATATAACAAGATCTCAAGACAAAGCACTTCAACATTACACCTCACTGCATTGTGGATCCATGTGATGATTCGAAAATTCTCATTACTATATAAGTAGCATGGTTCGTAATTGCCCTCCTCTAGAACATCCCAAAAAAGATAAAACGACTGTATCTTATTATCCCGACGATGAAACAAGAACCTATCCAATGAGTTCAACAGCTTAACCCTAAGCTCACATGTGGACGTATCCTCCGATGAAAAACAAAAATTCAACGACGGAGATGACAGAGAAAGCTCCCTGCATCCTTTGGACCCACAACTGAAACGAGTGAGCTCTTCTATATCAAGGAACGAAAGAATGTGATGGGCAACTTCCAGTGGAAGATTACTGAATCTGTTCACCAAGCTCTCAGTATGAACTCTTCCACCTTCACAACTTGCAGTAGCCCTTAACTTATTCTTGTGTTCCATGAAGCTAAACTAACTTGTGGCTTTTGGGTTTTGCAAGAGAAGTTGGGTTTTTAATTTATACTACAATTCAAGGGCAATTGAACACTAATACATTCAATAACTTGTGATTTTTAGATACTGAACCAAAATGAAGAAAAGTAGTCGCGAGTATACTGAGTACGTACCAGTCTGGTACCCAACAGAATTGGAGCTTACTGTTGCTGTAGCTTGTAGGAGCATTTTCGAGCCAACATAGTTCCAGTACGAGGAAGTGGATGTTAGGTCGGGCTTCCATCTACAATTCAAAGAGAAGATCAAGCCCAACCTTTTTATCAGAAAAGTTTACGGCTTTAAAAGTAAGTAAATAAATAATTGGGACATTCACTATTATACCTAATATGGCCCAAAGCCAAAGCCCATTTAGAATATAACAAATAGGCTTCGACCTTCTTATAAATTATAAAACTACCATCAATTTCTTAAAACAAGCCAAATCTCAAAACCTCATAAATAAAGCTTCAAGCATTCCTATAAATTATAAAACTACCATCAATTTCTTAAAACAAGCCCAATCTCAAAACCTCATTAAAAAAAACCCAAAACACTCAATAGGGCATCAAAGTAATTTAATAATCAAAATTAAATTCAATAGGGACAGCTGTCATTTTTTTAAAAAAATTTGGGTTTGTTTATAAAAATTGAATGGTGTAGAATTTATCTATATCACTAATGCTAAGAATGGGTATATAACTAAATATCTCTAAATAATTTAGGTGAAAGCTTTTTTTCGTTATTTAAAATAATGTTTGTATTCTATTAATTTTCGTTTCTCAAATTATTCATTTTTGTTCCTTGCAAGACAAATTAGATTTGAGACTGAAGTAAATTGCAAGGAGATATTATCTCATAAATATACAGAAATATCCTTTCAAGGTACACATAAAGTCTTGTAAAAATATCAAAGATTATTCCCTCCTCCGAATGATAATTGTGGCAGTAGAAATCATCTTGTTCCTACTCACCATCCCTGCTGCAGCTTTTGATTGCTCATCTTTGCTGCCAAGAAAAATGGCAATTTTCTTCAAATTTTGAGCATTCTCCAGGATATACGTTGAAAACTCGATTTCATTAGACCCGTGGCCGGAATACTGTACGGTTACTTCTTGAAGCTGATGAAGGAAAGCAAGGTTTTGCAGTTTCCAATATTCCGTACCAAAGCCACTTGACTGAAAACATACAAAAAGGCAACATATACTTCACTTACTGGTTCGGGATTCCAAGGCCCTTTCACAGTCCTTATGGACAAACTATTCAAATTAGGCATTCCTCTAAGAAGAGAGACAACTGCCGGAACAAGGTCATCTTCCAAGGTCGTACAATGTATCCTCAAGTTACAAATATTATCTAATATTGGTGCTGCCATGGAACCTTCCTTGAAAAGGGCCTGCATGTTTGTCAAGAAAAAATCTTAGACAGAGAGAGGAAAAGAACCTACGATTTTTTTATTCTTTCAAATGATTCAAAAAATATCTTGTTTTTACCAAGGGTCTGAGAGCAAGTCCACCGCATGCCCTTTTGCCAGGGCAACAGGCCCCCCCAGCAGGAAATGGACCTCCAGCGCAGGAAAAGCAGCCCGGGCAAGCCCTGGGTCCCACCAGCCCGGGCAAGCCCAAGGGCAGATCTTGACTGGGCTTCAGCCCGAAGGCGCTGACGTCATGCTGACATCAGCAAAGCAAATCAATTTTTTTGTTGGGTTAAAAAAATTCAAAAAAAATGGACCTCCAGCGCAGGAAAAGCAGCCCGGGCAAGCCCTGGGTCCCACCAGCCCGGGCAAGCCCAAGGGCAGATCTTGACTGGGCTTCAGCCCGAAGGCGCTGACGTCATGCTGACGTCAGCGAAGCAAATCAATTTTTTTGTTGGGTTAAAAAAATTCAAAAAAAATACCAAAAAATTCTGGATTTTTTCTCTATAAATACCTATCAATTTCATTCACTTTCCACACCAATTTTCATATAAACTCTTCTCCTTCCGTATGTATGAAGAATTGTTGTATTGTTTCCCTTTTATTCAATAAAGAAAGCATTAAATAATATGAATATTTATTATAAATATTTGCAAATGAAAACAAAGTTTAATTAAAAACAAACGTATAAAAAAATTATGGACACGTGGCAACCAAAATTAATGGTTTAAAGTATAAAAAAATAGGAAATAAAGTACAATGAATAGTATTTGCCCTTGCCCTAGCCTTTTGGGGTGGAACCAAAAAAGGCAAGGCTGCCACTATTCACGTGAATAGTGGCAGCCCTTGCCTTGCCTTAGCCCTTGCCTTAGCCCTTTGGGGTGGACTTTCTCTGAAGGGTAGAGTTTTACCTTAACGGTGTCCTCGCTTATACTAAGAACTCTTGCCCAGCATATACTACAAAGAGCTTCAAATACATTGTCAATTTCATTTGGCCGAGGCTTTAAAAAAAGCTCAACTTTTTCCAAACTCATTAGTTTTCCCAGATTTTGGCTACTCCACGGACTGCCTATCCATTGCAAGTTTTTAAGATTGGGAGCAAAAATCTTCAGTGAATTGCTGCTTGTTGCTCGATGGCGTTCGGGCCCTCGATTTATTTCTATAGTTTCAAGCTTCTCACAAGAGATATTAAGGTCACGAAAAATCGAAACATGAAGGTGTTCTAAAGACGAACTTTCAACGGTGATATTCTGTGTCCCTCTAATAGAATAAAGATTTAACTTCTTAATGCATTTGCAAGAACATGAGATCCATTGAAAAAACCTCTCGTCTAAGTTAAAAATTGGTCGTTAGAAAGAGTTGTGTAGGTATTATTGTTGATGCGCTTAAGTTTCTTTATATAATGGCATTGACCTAGTTGGGCCTATAAATTAAGAAGCTTCACTTTCGGGCCCAATATAGGGACCCAAATTATATAAAAAAACCAACCCAGACCCCATTTACAACACACCAAATACGTCTCGAAAATCCAATAAATTACAAATTGCCGCCAAGAAGCCCAAACCCAATTTTCACCAAGAAAACAAAAACAAAACAAAACCAACAACACTCAAAAGAAACAAAGAATAATAAAAATCATAATAATAAAAGTAGACCACGCGACCTAAGGACTCATGCCGTCTCCCTAACCTCTGCAAAAACCTCCAAAAACTGCCATCCCCTCCACAAAGATTGAAGCCGCACCTCTAAAGTAAACTGCAAAAGCATCGACAACATTTAAAGACAGACTCCGTAACTTTCAAGCTGATGAAGGAAAGCAAGGTTTTGCAGCTTCATTATTCTATACCAAAGCCACTTGACTTGACTGAAAATATATGTTTTTCATGGAACCTTCTTTGAAACACGCCAGCATGTTTTTCATGAAAGAGATAAAGAACCTGTGTTTTCATTTTTTTTTCCAAAGTGCAAGATAACAGTAATAGTTAGTTAAGAGTTAACTCATCAACCCAAAGTTTAGGAGGAGCTGTTACAATAAGTAGTATAATATAAATAGTATAGCCGGGCGGCTATACTGGGGATTTTTATTTTTATTTATATTTATAAATAAGCCGCGCGACTCTTTGTAATATTCAAAGCGTATAGCCGTTCGGCTGGGTTTTTATTTTTTTAAATTAATCGTATAGCCGAGCGGCTGTACTCGTAATTTAAAAAATAAAAAGGGCCGGCTAGCCGGCTAGGCGCCTAGGCGCTAGGCGGGTCCTCTTTTTTCCTTTCTTTTTTGTAATAAATAGTATACCCAAGCGGCTATACTTTGTAATTATAATATATATAAATCGTATAGCCATGCGGCTATACTGGGGATTTTTATTTTTATTTTTTTTATAGGGTTATTCGCAGCAATGGTCCCTCAACTATACCCGTAGTTACACTTTGGTCCCTTAATTCAATTATTAGTTGCAGGGGTCACTCAACTCTGTGTTTCGTTGCACCAGCTGTCCTTCCGTCAAATCTGTTAAATTTTCTGTCAAAAGTGAGGGTAAATTCGGAAATTCATCCACAAGAATCAAATAATAAATAACCAAAAACCCAAATCACCTACCTCCCAAGCCCCCCCTCATCCCAGCCACCACACCGTACCTCCAAACCTTCTCCGCCCCATGCCTAGCCACAAACCCATCCTCATTGTAACTCTCTGTCTCTCAGCTCCCTGGCATAGACAACGGCGAATACAAACAAAATTGAAACTTGTAAACTGTACGATTCTTACATGGTGGAAAGCGAGGTCGGAGAGGGAGAGAGGGTGAGGGGGTAGGCGAAGCCACTTGGGGTAGTTGAAGGAAAAAAGATGACAATAAAAGATGACAGGAAATCAACCAAACCCCCTTGAACAAACCCCCAAATTGAATCTGTGCTTGTTGAGATGGAATCTGACGGTGGAGAATTTGTCAGGTGTCGGGAGTGAAACAAACCCCCAAATTGAAAACTGCAGATTGCGCACTACTCTCTCTCTCTCTCTCTCTCTCTCTCGCACACACTCAGAGAGACACTCTCTCTCTCGCAATCACCATAGAGCTCCATTGCTTTCGTTAACCACAGCCGCTCTGTTTTTCTCTCTCTTTTTTCTTTGGGTCTTTTTGGGTTCTGGTTAGGTAAGCTATAGCTCTCTTTGATCTTGTCCTCTGATTTGTGGCTACTATCTTCCTTCAATCTTTGGCACAAGCCTCTGATTGATCTGTTTTTTTCTGATCGCTCTGTTTTTTTTTTGAACAACTAGGGTTTTCTGAGGCCCTTCAGACTCCTACTTGAGCTGAAACAAATTGGTCTAATTGGTGAAGACCCAGTTTGGTGTTTCATTCGTTCTCATCTGGGTTTGTCTTAGATCTTCAAGATAGCAGATAGAAAATGTTGGATCCAAGCGATAAAGTGAGTAATTTGATCCAGAGCTTTCATTCGATCTCTTTTCTTATTTTGATCCAAATAGCTGCTGATCAGATCGTTTTTTGTTCTTGTGTTGCAGGGATCAGAGTCCGAGGAGATGAATATCAAAACCCCAGATGTGGGTTCATCCGAAGAAGGCCATAAGAAGACCTGTGCCGACTGCGGAACCTCCAAAACTCCTCTATGGAGGGGAGGCCCAGCAGGCCCTAAGGTCATTTTAGCTCCCAAAAACCCTAATTTATTATTCAAAATTTCTCATTCGGGTTTGATCTGATTTCTGATTTGTGTCTTCTCATGTTTCACAGTCGCTATGCAATGCGTGCGGGATCAGAAGCAGGAAGAAGAGAAGGGCCATTCTGGGCTTGAACAAAGAAAACCCCAATGATAAGAAGGGCAAGAGAAACAAGCAGCTAGGCGATGGTTTGAAGCAGAGGCTGTTGGCTCTGGGAAGAGAAGTTTTGATGCAGAGATCGACGGTGGAGAGGCAGAGGAGGAAGCTCGGGGAAGAAGAACAAGCGGCTGTCCTACTGATGGCTCTTTCATATGGCTCGGTCTATGCTTAGTCTCTCCATCATTAGAATAATTAGTATAAATAATAAGATTAAGATATAGTTTTTAGGAGAATGGCAATTCTAACCTCTATTTTTCAGTGTAACTTCCTCCCTCCCCCCTATCATCTGTCTCTTTCGTTAGTGAAATTTACTTTGTTCTTTATTTTTGGTAGCTGCCCCTTTTGAAGCCTCATGTACTAAGTACTAATTTTGGGCTTTTGGAGAGTGATTGAGCAAGTGTAAGATTTTGGAGATCTTGTTCTATTTTTGCTGACATAAAATTCCTACTACTAGTATTCATTTTCGGTCTCGTGTTTCTTCTCTCGTTTTGTGCCCAATAATTTTTTTTCTGTTTATGGCCCATCATCAAATACCAACCCTCCACCCAGAAGAGGAGAAAAAGAAAGTTCCCTGTACTGAGAATGTTTTCATTCAATTTTCCTTTTTGTTCTGTTTGGCACCTGAGAAAATCAGATAAAGGGTATGAAACTTTAAAGATCCAAACATAATTCAAGAGGGAATCCGTCTTCCATCTGATCTCATTGAGATGAAATCTTTTCGGAGCAAATCATGTGTGGTGGTCAAAGATGTTTTTTTTTTCTGGGTTTTATATTTGAGAGGGAAAATCAAATAAACATAAAGAGGGGTTGCAATTCTCCAAGTCTATGGGGTGTGCATAGAGGGAAATTCAAAAGGAGTCGAATATTTTAGCGGGTGTTTGACTTTTTAGAAAGATGAAAGGGAAAGAGAGAAATATTGTGTTCAAATCTAAATAATCTTGTCAACGAGTGTAAAAAGAGTAAATTTTGTGTTCAAATATAATTAATCTGTTTTCACACAGAAAAAGTGGAATTGCAGCCATGCATTCATTTTCAGATTTCATCATCATTATAATTATAATTGTTGGCGAACGAGGCCCTAGCCATAATTTAGCTTCATAGGTAGGAGGACAGGAAATCAAAGGGTTCCCTTTTCCCATTCTACCCAAAAGGCAATGCCCATCATGTTCTTTTTCACTGTCTGGGAGTTTCCAGCTCCTTCCAGTCTAAACATCATGATTTCTAAATAGCTTGTTGTGAGCCGTGTTCTGGTACATTTTGAGCCACCTTACAAGCCTAGCTACCTCTAAACTCTAGCAATGGCTGCAGAAGAAAAATTAACCCGTGCGTCTGAGGAATTTACTCATATTAAGTGCTATCCCCGTTATATACAAGTTTTTATGCATATTGTTGATGAAATGCGAGTCAAAGCAACTGTTCCCTCATATTGTACAATTTGTAAGTGGAGACCATGAATATATGCAGAACGCTTAAAGATGGTTTCAATTATTTTTGGTGCAAATGCATAAACATTTTGCATGTGTATGCTTGTTTTATCTTTGAAAAGATTTCTCCCACCAAGTTGGCCAGCTTTCTATGTTTCCTTGTTTTGTGACTTGTGTCATTGATATAGAAGATTCAACCGATCAAAGAATTGGTATAATATGTTTAAAGTTGGAACCCCATTTTGTAGTTGGTACCTTAAAGCTAAGCACTATAGGGATAGGCACTATTTTTCCACTTTTTTTGTGTGAACATTATTATTTTACGACTACTTTGCTAGATGGTGCATGGTTGTTGAAAGCTCAAACTTCAATTTAATTATTGTTTTGTGCCGGCTTGATGTTAGAATGTCAAGTATCTAATCTAAAATCAATTAGCAATAAGTGGAGAAGTTCAAGATTACTTAAACTACTAACTAATGCAAGGTTTTTCGTTTTTTATAGGGCTGGTTACAATTCGATATCTGAGTCTTGTCTTAGATTTACTAACATGACATCTGAATTGATATCGTAAGCACTGGAGAATGAGGGACCGACAATGAACTACTGAGAGGTTCTACTGACATGAGTGGTTCATTGAGATCAATGATTCAGAGTGGTGGAGGAGAGACAAGGAAATGACAACGGCATGGAGAGAGAGGAGGAGAATAAGATGAGCTTTCTCCAGAAAAAACGTCGCCAAACTCGACTGGTCAGGTTCGTCCAATTTTGGGGTTTTGGCAATAGGAATGCCCGCCCCAGATTGAATGACTTGACATATTTCGCAGAACAAAATTTATATACTACGTAGTCTACGTATGATGTCTTTATCTTAAAATCAACCTCATTCCTTTGGACGCCTCCCTTAAAATGAAAATGCACTCCATCCATATTGAAAATTATGACCTAAACCACGCGTGCAATTTCAAGTGCTTTGTGACTGTCATATAATTTTCTAATCAAAGTTTTGAGGTTTCCACTCCTCAGTAGAACTGAATTTACTGAACACTCAAAAGCACCAGGGCTCAACAAATTCGATAGTAAGGGCCTTATTTAAGGCTCATATATGAGGTTCTATCTTTTAATCGTTAAATTAAATTAACCAATTTAATCTGACGGTTAATTAATTTGATACCATTAATTTAATTTGGCGGTTAATTAATTTGATCAAATGGTAGATAGGGCCTAAGGCCCTCACTATAGAGTTCCACATTTAAAGTTCAGCTATATAGGTTGGTCCATGATAGACCAAAGACTTAGAAATAGCCCAACATCATCCCAAGAGATCAATTGGCTGAAGCTCAATTTTTTGGGTCGATAAGTTGTGTGTGGTGGAGAGAGAGAGTTAGACGTTGGCTGATACTTGATGATCAAGAGCCCAAACAGCACAGCCCCAAGAGATTAATTAACTTGTGTTAGATTGGGTCTTGGGTGGGACCCATGAATCTCCAATCATACCCCGACCCTACCCCTTCCCTTTTTCGTTTAACCTACTTTTGGAAGAATTTGATCTCATTCATTATTTTTGGTTAACAACAAAAAACACCCTACAAGTTTGGGGTGGTTCTCAATATGGATCCCGAGGTATCAATTTTATCAATTTACATCCTTATGTTTTCAATATCGTCAAGTTCATTCTTTCGTTAAGTTAACCATAGGGTCAATCATTAAATGTTAACGTATCTACTGCAGGACCTACCTACTAATCAACCCGTTCCTAAAAAAATTTATATAAAATGATAAAATAACATAAATTTAGAAAAAATAAACTTAAAAAATCTCAGCCCCTCCCCAAGCCAACAAACCCAATGCCCCATGTTCACCCCCTCTCGCCCCGCACCAACCCTAGCCATCATCCATTTCTCTCTTTGGCGTCGACTCTGTGGCAGAACACCAAAACCCAATTCGAGTAAGAACTAGTCTCGATTCGGCTCACAAAAGAACCAAGGCCCCAAAGTTGTCACTTCAAACCAGCAACTGCTGCAGATCATCGAGCTCGAAAATGGAGGAGGCCAAAGTCGCGGCGTACTACGACGAGTTGACTCGGTGCGGCGAAGGGGCCGCCAGATTCAAGCAAGGCCTGAGCTTCTCTTCAGCAAGCACAGATTCAAAAAACCCCTTTGTGTGCGATTTAGCGTTGCCTTATTCGTCGTCTTCCTTCCTCAACAAGTTCGTCAAGGCCTCTAGCCCGAAAAAGGAGTCGGAGCTCCAAAAGCAAGCCCAAATCGAGTGGGACTGAGAGAGAGAAGAATGGGGATTGGGGTTGGTGCGGGGCGAGAGGGGGTGAACAGCCTGTGGGATTGTACATGAACTTTTTTGTGGACGGGATTGCACTTGAGGAGCAATGGGCTCTTGTTATTCAGATCTTCTTCCACAAACTCAAAGGGGATGCCTTTTGTTTTCAAGGCCAGTTCCACTCTCATTGTGTAAAGGCTAAGCCACGATCCATGCAGGGTCACCTTGTTTCCTTCTACCATCTCTCTTTCACATTTCTTTTTAGTTTTGGATTGGATGTTGGACTCAAATGTTACTGCAGCTTTTTATAGAGTTCTGCGATCGAGCTGATGCCAAAGAGAGAGAGGGATGGGGGCTGAGATTGGTGCGGGGCGAGGGGGGTGAACATGGGGCACTGGGTTTGCTGGCCTAGGGAGGGGTTGTGATTTTTTAAGTTTATTTTTAAAAAATTTATGTTATTTTATATAAAAAAATTTAAGAGCTGGTTGGTTAATAGGTGGGTCCCAAAGTAGACACACGATTGACCACACGGTCAACTTAACGGAAGGATGAAATTAGACAATGTTGCAAATGTAAGTGTGTAAATTGATATTCTGGGGTTTATATTGAGAACCACCCCAAACATGCAGGGTGTCCTTTGTCATTAGCCATTTATTTTATTTTATTTTATTTTTTATGCAGTTGATCTCATTCATTGATACGGTTGAATTTTTTTATTTTATTTATGCAAGTGATAATTTAAACTTCTTTAAATTAAGATAATTTACTGGAGAGGAGATTCGGACTTGACTACAAGGAGGACAAACACACTGTCCTAACCTACGTCTGCAAATACAGTTAATTAGAGTATAGATTCAAAACAAATTTAAACTTGGGTCTTTAATCTCAGACTAATTAACTGTTTAAGCTCTAAATCATCATTTTATACTATAAATTATCCACCTTATCAGTTAACATTAAACTTAGATTCATCTGTGATTGATGACCTTTGTCATGTGATTATTTTTGTGTTTTCGGGGTCAAAAGCCATTTGATTGTCAGACCCAAAAAGAAAGCCATTTGATTGTTTAATGGGGGACTCGAATATCGATGCAGAGAGAGTGTAGCAATCTCTATCTTGCAGTGTGTGAGTGCTTGTGCTTAGGATGCCATGCCAACTTGGATGGACCACCCCCCACCCCCCCAACCCATTACAATAATATGTGCCCTCCAGCTAATTGTTCCCGCACCCTCTTCAATCTACACACTACTTCTAGACACCCACACACACCCTTTGCTTTTTATTATTACTTGTCTTTTAACTACAAAATGCAAATCACACCTTTCTAATTCAAATAGTTAAGAACAGTTATTCTTACATTCGAAGATCCTTAATTAAATCAAGCACCGTCGTCAAAACTCTTCTCATGAGACAATATATCGCGATACTATCATGGTTATGTTAAAGAGTTGAGACCAAAACTCTCCTCATCCTAATTTCTTTGTCCTGGTTATCTTTCTCAAGCTAGAAAGTAGAGAAGTTAAGAGTGAAGAGAAGCCCTGTATTTATACAAGTTGGACAACCTGGGTCAAAGAAGGAATCGCTCGCAAGCTCATTCCTACTGGGAATCCAACTCCAAGAACAGTCAGAAGCCTACTCCAATTGGGAACCTGATCTGCAAAAGAGTCCAGCTCACAGAGAAAGTCCAGACACAGTTGGAGAGTCCGAAAAATAATTTCATCTCCTACACACCACACAAGCGCCATGCAGAAGCTGGGGGGCATTTGTG